TTTTTTAAACAAAAAAACCGCAGGAACTAAGTTTACCACCTAATAGTTACAAAAGAAAGAAAATTCTACATTCGTAGAATACATATGTAACGTTGAGTTACATATGTAACGTTGAGTTTGCTGGGAAAATAAGTATTTATTTTGGTAGAACTTTTTCGATACAAAATTCGTTCATTATGTTCGTAGATAAAAATATCTTTAGGGAGCATAAGTTTTATATTTTTAACTTGTATCTTAACTTTTACCTTTAAGAAACTGATAAACTACACTAAAGTCCTTGTTCGAGAATCCTTGATCGATGATTATCCGGTAAATTTGATGCGCTAATGAACCGAGAGGAATCGGAGTCTGTGTTCTTGTCGCAGCAGACTGAACTAGTCCAAGATCTTTAGCCATCAACGTCGTACCGAAACCACCCTGTAATTAAAAACAAATAACACATAACCTTAATTGTGTATTGCAACAAATAGAAAATAGTACTCGTTTTCCGTTGCGAGATAATTTTTTAAATAAATTATTTAACAAATAAATTATTTAATAATAAATTATTTACTCAATGATTATTGGTATCATAATTGAAAGTTTTATAATACTATTCTACAGTTCTAAATTATTCGGATCCATTCTGTCTTCTGTGAAGTCATAAACGAATAAAGAAAAATTAATTCACGATAAAGACGGAAAACCAATAAGATTTTCGGGCCAATAGCGTCGCATATTTTTTATTATATATTGTTATAGTGAGGGTCAAGAATTTTCCAAAGCACCATAGTAACACCATTTTACGTTGGGCTAAACGAAAGTCATGAGTCTTCAAAGTTTGTGTAATGTTAGTTACGACCAATGTACAATACTTCCAATAAGACGGATTTCTGGGCCAAGAGCGTTGCATATCAATTGTATATTATTTATAGTGAAGTTCAAAACCTTTCCGAAACACCATAGTAACACATTTTTACATTGGGCTAAACCAAAATTAACGCGCACTTGCGCGCGTGTGTGTACATGTATTTCATTTTTTATAAAGATTGAGATCGCGTACCTTGAAAAAGAGCGCTAGAGCAAACGTCCTGATTACGGATTATCTAAGATAGATTACGTATTTGTAATCAATTGATAGCTGTATATTATTTGTGAACTCTCAAATTAAAAGAACAGTCTTTAGGTGTTGCACCTTGGTCATGGCTAACATTTACATGACTCAAACTTTGAAGGCTCGCAACTTTTATTGGCCCAACGTAAAAAAGGTATTACTATAGCGCTTCCAACAAGTCTTGACTTCCACTATAATAATATACAATAAAAAATGTACGACGCTCTTGACCCAAAAATCAAAAGGCCTTATTGGCCTTCGTCCTTTGTAGATTTTTCACGTATAATTACCTCGTAGTTCTTTGAGCTGGGAACGTTAGGCAAGATTCCCGGAACCGGATTGTAGAGATCGGAAGACCAGCACCTGCCTGAACTGGAATTTATGATGTCCGCTAATAATCTCGCGTCTAAGCCCAATCTAAAAGACGAATACAATTCGATTAAG